TCAACAAAGTACCTAGACCTACCTGTTCATCAACCCTACCTGTTCATCAACAAAGTACCTAGACTTACCTGTTCATCAACAGACAACTTTCTTCCAGCAGGAAATTACCAATAAGAAATGTGTTTTGATCAATAACAGTTTCTTGTGCAAGGTCAGCAGTCAACTTCATTACAACTTCTATACACAAGTCTCGAGTAACATCTTTAATCGTCTAAAACAGAAAAAAAATAAAACTTAGAATCTTACCAACGATCCGTGTAAACTCTTACAATACAGAGAATCAAAAACAGGTAAACTATTCCATGATATGTACTATGACAATATCATAGAAAGAACATTTTATAGGCACGTATCAAGCCAGAAAGTATTGTCTACCTCTTATTTTAGCTCTTAATAAATCAAAGCTGAGTTTTAAACAAATGCTGCTAAAGTTATATAATAACCTATTTTTTCTGTTTATTTGTGAATGAAAGCTATTACTCTACATCATTTGTGGCAAGTATTAATGAAGTTTTGATATACATGGAAATTACTTCATCATATTAGCAGCCAATCACAGGGAATTAAATCATAAGATCACAAACATGGAAATTATTTCATTGTACCAGTAGCCAATCACAGGGAATTAAATCATAAGATCACAAACATGGAAATTTTCAGAAAAATATATTTAATTTTTATTTTTCTACTATTTTGAATAAAAATTAAATAATTCATGTAGTTATTTACACTCAGACTCTGAACAGTTCACATGCAAGGTGATTTTTTTCCCTGATGGGAAAATGATTTAATTCCCTGTGATTGGCTGCTGGTACAATGAAATAATTTCCATGTTTGTGATCTTATGATTTAATTCCCTGTGATTGGCTGCTGGTACAATGAAATTCTACATACTTTTAACAACATTCTTGCCAAACAACTTCATCACTAGTTATATTTTTGAGAGACATTTCACATCTAATTTTCTCTGACACAAGTACATCGTCCCTAAAGAGTTGACCAACTAAACCTACAAACAAATTCCATCTAAAAATCTTTAGATAATCTTAAACATTCTCTCAAGGGAAATGAAAACATAGGGAAATAAGTTTCAGTTGAAACGCACATTCTACATCCTTTCTTTGAACGATTTAGATTGGCTGGGTAACAAAGGGTATAAAAAGGCTGATGTTACATCAAAAAAGATTGTTTTGCATTTTTACGTGAAAATTATTTTTGCAAATGGGTTATTTATTACAGTTAGTTCTGTTACAGGAAAAATTGGAAAATCTTTTCCTATGTATACACAAAATGTCTGTTTAAAATTGTACAACAAGGATGAGAAACTGCAGATATAATGTCAATAAATGAATCGTTATCAAGCTATTACAAAATCTGTTGTAAACATACTTAGGTTTTATTACTGTAAGTTTATTGTTACTGTTAGAAAAAGTTTTTTTAAAGCTGTAAAACATTTTAAGTATTTTTGTCAATTGAAAATCTCAAGTTCATGTGCTGGCTAAACTCGTTGCTTCTAACCTCAATTATGCTACATTATAGTTAAATTACATATTAAGTCTGTTTTATTGAAACAGTATCTCATATAAGCATGAACAGAACCAAGTATCAAAGTATCTTTCATCCATCTACATATGTTAAGGCTGAAAAATAAAAAATTGAGAAAAATATATGAATTCTTCCTTGTTCTAAACGACTTTCAATCTCTAAATTTACGACTGTATTTCTTTATATACAATAAAGTTATTTATTGTAAATAGCAGTCCAGTTACCTCATTATTATAAACAAAAGCTGGAGGTGGCAGTACTTGATGTAATGTTTCTTCTCTTGTGACTACAGGCTGAAATCTTGTGTCAGGATGAGATACGCTCAATTCAGGAACGTGTTTCGTAACTTCAGTTGTTGTCTGAATGTCTTTAACTAATGCTGAGACTTAATGAAAGACAAATATAAAGGAGTAACTCAATATTTATACATTGTTACAAAAAACACATAATATATCCAGGAGAATAGTCCTAGCTACATAACAAAAGTATCTAGTACACCCACACTACATAATATATCCAGGAGAATAGTCCTAGCTACATAACAAAAGTATCTAGTACACCCACACTAAACATAATATATCCAGGAGAATAGTCCTAGCTACATAACAAAAGTATCTAGTACACCCACACTAAACATAATATATCCAGGAGAATAGTCCTAGCTACATAACAAAAGTATCTAGTACACCCACACTACAATAGTACAAAATAGGACACAATAACAATAAAACCAAACCATAGATATAAAGGATACAATAATAATAAAGCCAAACCATAGATAGAAAGGACACGATAAAATAAAGCCAAACCATAGATATAAAGGATACAATAACAATAAAGCCAAACCATAGATATAAAGGATACAATAATAATAAAACCAAACCATAGATATAAAGGATACAATAATAATAAAGCCAAACCATAGATAGAAAGGATACAATAACAATAAAACCAAACCATAGATATAAAGGATACAATAATAATAAAGCCAAACCATAGATATAAAGGATACAATAATAATAAAGCCAAACCACAGATATAAAGGATACAATAATAATAAAACCAAACCATAGATATAAAGGACACAATAACAATAAAACCAAACCATAGATAGAAAGGATACAATAATAATAAAACCAAACCATAGTTATAAAGGATACAATAATAATAAAA